TTGGCAGCATGCCTCCCTTCCGTGGATCGTCTTCCACAACGTGACATCTCCCCCGCAGGCCTGCGCCTGACGGAGCGGACGCGAGCGGGCACGGCTACGGGGGTGTGTTTTAGCGAGCCGGCTGCCCGCAGCCGGTGCCTCCAGAGAGCCTCCTGGTGCCGGAGGCGCCAGCGCACGCGGCAAGGGGATGGGTCTAGCGGCGGGGGGGGCGAGATGCAGCCAATCCTGTACTCCCACTTCCCAATCCCCCCCCTTGATGCCACCCAATCCTAATCGCTATCCCTCGGGACGCCCGAGGCGGGTGCGGAACAAGACATGGGCGCAATGCCCAACGGAATCTGAAACCCAGAATGGGCCGCAACCGCTGTTTGGCAGGGCGTTTTGATTTCTGCAAGTGGGCAGCGTCCGTGGCGACACCGACAAAAGAGTCGTCTTCCCCAAAAAGGCAGGACATGTTGTCCGCCTTGTCCCTGCTCGTTGCCGTCACCATTTCCGCTACATTTTCGCTCGGATCCCCCGCTTTCGGATCATTGCGCAGGCCTCTAGCGGCGGTTCGATACGATTCTGGCGCCCCCGGAACGCTCTCGACGAGGCGCAGCTGAGGGAAGCCGCACCAAAACCAGCTTACTGCCGTCGGTCTTCCTTCATGCCTGTTTCGATCGTGCCCGCTCTCGGCTGAGGATCAGTCCGCGACGCCAGCGGGCCTTATCTGGATCGAGTCGCGAAGTGCGATCGGAAACGGATCGGATCACAAGCGAATTGTTGCCCAATCGAATCGATCCCAGATCGCCGCGCCCGGCTCCGGACGGCCCCAGCGTACGCCGGCGAACCGAACCGAACCGAACCGAACCGGAATGGCGGCCCCAGCCGGCGAACCCCGAGCGAGCCCTGGGCCCCACCTCTCTGCAGTGTGCTGCAAACTTGGATCGGCGCGTGACGCTCCCGGGAGGCCAAAGCCGGGCGCGAACGCCCGATGTGTAAAGATGCAGCGCCCAGCTCTCGGAGAGTCGGAGCGCATCGAGTTAGGTTCCGGGCGGCGGCTCTCTGCCCATGCGGCAGCGCCCCGAAGGCACTCCTCCCCACCCTCTGGGCGTAGGTGGCCTAACAGTTCAGATCCTTGTTCCCTCTGCAACTGCTCCATACTTTGACGAATGCTACGCCGTTTTCCCCTCGAAGATGGCCTGGGAGTGGCCGCCCACTCCAAGCACTATGCATCTCGCATGCAGGATTTCATTGGTTGATGTTTCCTATAGATTTTTCATCGAACAACGTCGGCGCCTCGAAATGATGCTCCCGCTTCAGCGTTGGCCTCATTGTAGAACTGACACGTTGCTCCAATCGTTGCTCTCGCACCAGCGCGGGCCACAGTTCTGGATCCAAGTGCTTTCTCATGGTTGTCGGCCAACTCCTTTCCCCACCTCCGCCTGCCCCTGGTCCTCCTGCATCTCCCGCCCCTTCCACTCAAATTCCCGCTGCTACTGTTCGTCCTCATATGATTCTCTCTTCTATTTCATCCTTTGCCTCCCGATCATCTGCAACCACCTCGTGATTGATCTGCCGAGATCGGAAGTCTTCAAGCTCGGCCTCTTGCTCGACGCCCACACCGACAGTGGGTATGAGGGCAAGGATCTTAGATCTTGCGATCCCCCCTCTTCTTCATGCTGGACTTCTACAGGAGGAGCTCGACCACAAGAAACCCAGCCCTGCGACCCCGGGGCGTCCATTGCTTTCTGGTGTGGGAACGTCGCGCTTTCCACAGCAAAACCATCGAAACCCAAGAAACCCAGGGCACCCTGGAGGCGAGCAGGGTGTTTCTTGGCACGGGCCTCCACTGAACGCGAAGCTCAGCTTCTGCGCCCCCGGCGGAAGATCATCCGCGCTGTCTTCTGGCCGCTGGAGCTGGAGCTGCGCGGCCGTGCCCCGCATGTTTGTTTGTTTGTTTCTCCAACGACGCCACACAAGAGGGGTGTCTTTGTGGAAGCCCCAGGTCCGCTATGACTCGCATCCGCGGATGGAGAGGAACCAAGGGTAAGATGTCAGGTGTGGCGGGTGCGCGTCTGGCTTTCTCCAGACACCTCTCCAATTTGAAGGGGCCCTGGGACACACAAATAAATAGACACAAATAACAGGATTCCCTATATTTTCCCATCTTTTCTGGGATGTTGTCTTCCCCCCCACTTCCCATATTCTCAATATTTTCTAAGGGATCGACGATTAATCGTGTCTGTGTGTTTTTTCTCCTCCTGGCTTGTTCCAGACACCTCTCCAATTTCTATTCCACCTCGACTGGAAATCTTTCTGGGTGGGCTGGCGGGGAAGCGGTCAGAGACTTTGGCTCAGCGCGACGCTCCGCCGGTCCTGGCCCACCACGGCTCGGCGCGACACGCTGTCCAGGAACCAGCCCCGCAACGTCAGTGTCCCGAGCCTTTCCTGGCCTCCCGCCCCGCGGAGGGAAGCGACACGCCACCCGCTTGCCAGGCACAGCGTGTCGCCAGGGCCGCCGCCGCGACACGCTAAACAAACGTCTCTCACCGCAAGCTTTCGGGGGTCCGCGCGCGTTTCGCGGGTCGGTGCTGAGTCCCTCTGCGTGGCGCGCGGCGCGCGCTGGAGATGGCGCCAGGAAGGTCCAGCACCGATCTAAGAAATCCGTGCGGACCTCCGAAAGGACCCCCCCTGTGCAATATGTTGTTCCTCTAGAGACACCCCGTACAGCAAAGTAGAGATGAGCCAGACCCGCCCCGCAACGGGCAGGGTCGGGTCGTCCACGCAGCGGGCATTCATTCAGTACGCGAAGCTCCAAGAATCCCACCAGCCCGTTGGGCTATGCAACGTGGTCGGTCACACGAGGTCTTCCTTTCCTCTTCCAAGAAACCTCTTCCTTCGGGGAGTTTGACCTCCCCCCTCCCTCCCAACGCTGCGGGCATTCATGAGGGCAGCAATAGGGAGGGATAGGCATACTGGGGGGAAGTTCGACCTGGAATCGGCGATGCATCGCCGACAGATCGGCTACAGGCCCCCGATAATGAATCCGCACTTTTCTGGCCAAGTTAGGGCCACCGGGCCCCAATCGGCGATCAATAGGCGATTGGGGGTCGATGTATCCACCCTCATGCCTATCCCCTCTAACCCTGCCATCGCAATTTTCGGGCCACAACTCGGCTCCCGGGCGGCTTTTCGGGACGATACGGGCATCCCCAGATCGCCCTCGTTGAGGCGCAGCCGCTGGAAGGCACCCTGAGGCTGGAAAACCGCCGAGAACCCACTGAAGCGTTCGAAAACTTCGAACTCGATGCACCCCCCCGTGGGCCTGTCCCTGCCACTCGTTGCCCCTGATCCTCACCTTCCCCTGACGGGGGTCGATGTGTCCCCCTCTATCGTGGCCCATGGATGCCCCCCGTACGCGAAGCTTGGCGGCGAGCCCGGGGGGGAAAGTGAGAAGGGGCGGGCCTTCTCAGAAAGCTCGGAAATCCTCAGGCCTTCTGAGAAGTGTTCTAGGCCTTCCCCGAAGACACGGGAAAACGCTTGGAAGGCGCGAGGGCTTCTGAGAAGTCCCGCCGCCCTCGCAGAAGGCCTTCCCCTTCTCACTTCCCCCCTCGGCGCGCTGCCGAGTTTGGTTTTCGGGTCAAAACTCGGGTCCCAGGCGGCCGTTCGGAACGATCCGGGCACCCCTGGAACGCTCTCGGCGAGGCGCAGCTGCTGGAACGCACCCCGAGGCCAGAAAGCCGCCGAGCACCGACGAAAACGTCCCGAAACCTCACACCTCGAATCCGAAACCTTCTCGCTTCCCCACCTCGCTCGCCGAAGAGAAGCGCAAAGAGTTCTCCCTTCTTTTCCTCCCGCGGCGGGCGCGCTGCGAGCGAAGGGACCCTCCGGGCCGGGTGCGCGGGCAGCTGGCCTGCGCGACCGGCCGCGGGGGGGCTTCGAGGGCCAGGGCGCAGAGAGGCCGCGAACACCCAGGACCTCGTCGCTCCCGTCTCCTCCTGGGTCCTTCCTCCTCCTCCTCCTCCTCCTCCTCCTCCTCCTCCTCCTCCTCCTCCTCCTCCTCACTGTCCTCCCCTCCTTCCTCGCTCCCTTTTCCTCCTGCCCCCCCATGCTCCTGCTCCTTCCTTCTCCTCCTCCCTCATACGTTGTCCTCCTCCTCCTCCGTCTCCTCTTCCTCCTCCTCCTCGTCCTCCCTCCTCCCTCCTCCTCCTCATCATCCTCCTCCCCGCTGCCTCCTCCCCCCCTCCTCCTTCTACTCCTCCTCCTCCTCCTCATCCTCCTTCTCCTACTCCTCCTTCTCCTGCTCTCCTCCTAATCTTCCTCCTTCTTCCTCCTCGGAAGGTTTCCTTCTCCTCCTCCTCCTCCCTCCTCCTCCTCCTCCTCCTCCTCCTCCTCTCCTCCTCCTCCTCCTCCTCCTCCTTCTCCTCCTCCTCCTTCATCACTTTCCTCATCCTCATCCCTCATTCTCACTCCTCCTCCTCCCTCCTCCTCCTCCTCCTTCCTCCTCCTCCTCCCTCCTCCTCCTCCTCCTCCCTCCTCCTCCTCCTCCTCCTCCTCCTCCTCCTCCTCCTCCTCCTCCTCCTCCTCCTCCTCCTCCTCCTCCTCCGCCTCCTCATTCCTCCCCCGAGGGGCAACGATGTAGGGGGGACCAGCTCAGGGATGGCAACATCGACCTGGAATCGGCGATACATCGCCCCGTAGTCTGGCGATGGGCCTGGCCCCTGTCGGCGATGAATGAGCCATTGGGGGTCGTCGCATCTCCCCCGGAGCCTGTCTCCCCATCCCCGCGCCCCCCAAAGGAAGGAGCCCCTGGTGGTTTTCGGGCAATACCTCGGGCCTCCGGCGGCCGTTCGGGAGGATCCGGGCACCCCTTTGAACGCTCTCGGCCAGGCGCCGCTGCTGTAGAGCATCCCGGGGCTGGAAAACCCACGATAACCTACTAAAACGCGCGAAAGCCTCCAAACCCGAACCGGTCCCCTCCTCCTCCTCCTCCTCCTCCTCCTCCTCCTCCTCCTCCTCCTCCTCCAAGAGGGGAAAGCTGGCCAGAGAGGCTCTGCCTGATCATTGACCCGGAGCAACCGCCGTCGAGCGGAGGTCCGCCTCGACACGTGTCTAAACACGCCTTCGCATCATTAGGCGCACACGCTGGAGAGCGAGCAAAAGCTGCGATGCAGCCGCCCGGCGAACCCGCTGGGGCTCCGATCTGTGGGCGAGGCAAGCTCTGACGAAATCCGCTCCTCCCCTCGCCGGAGGAGTGGCGGAGGTGGTCCGCGGAGTGCCCACGGGAAGGGATGTAGAGCAGAATGCCAGAGATGATGCGCGACTCGCTGAAGGTTGGGTAAGAAACAACAACAACGTACGCAACATTACGTTGAGTCTCGGCCCAGTCGGGCTAGACCGGCTGGGGTTCACAAGTGCGTGGTGAGGAAATTAATCAGTTTGACATGGGCAAAACTAAAAGCCTCCCAGATGGGGTCGGAGTAGATGGGGTCGGAAAATCGCGCCACATCGCCAATGCATCGCCGATACATCGGTGATGCATCGGCGACGTCGGCGATGCATCGGCAGCGTCGGGGCGGAGAAAATCGGGCTCCACATGGAGCCGTATCGCCGATGCAATGGCGATTCGGAGCGATCTTCAGGTGCGTGTGAGAGGAGGGGGGTGCAGGCTGACTTGAGAACTGCGGGACTGGGGTGGTAACGTCAGAGCCAGCAGCGCGTAACGGAAACTCTGGCATGGGAAAAATTAGTCCTGCAGGCAACGGGCCCTGGACCCGGAGTCGTCTTCTGACCGTCCCGGGGCCCGTGGAGGGCCCCGAGGGCCCGAACACGGCGAAAACCCTCGGGACCCGTTTCCCTAGCTAGCTCAGGACCTGTTTGCCTCATGGCGACAAACTCCACGCTGCAATGCCCCGAGTCGTCTTTTTCCTGACCGCCCCGGGGCCCGTGGAGGGCCCCGCGGGGCCGCAGGCGACGAGGAACCTTGGGATCCCTGTCCCTCGGGAGCCGTTGAACGCTCCCGGCGAACACTTCCCGCGGCTTATGATGGTCCAACCTACTTTAGCCTTGACCACCAGGAAGAATTTCGAGCGCCCAAACAAGTACCGAAACTCAAGGGCTTTCGCGTGCCGGGCCCTGGGGGACACTCGTCCGACACCGCTTCGACACTCTTTGGACACTCTTTCGACACTTTTCTGGGGGCTCGAAAGCATTTCTGGGATGCCGTCCTTAAGTAGGGTGGGAGCAACATAACCCGCGGAAGCGCTCCTGGCTCGAGCACCCCGGGGCCGCGCGGACCACGCCCCAGGGGCCTCGCCCTTAGTGGGCCCCGGGAGCGGCAGGGCCGCTTTTTCACCGCTTCCGCGAAAAAGGGGCCCTTTGAAAATGGGAGCCGCAAAAGAACGGCGACCGGAAACGGCAACAGAAACGGCTCCAGGATATTGGGACTGGGGCGGGAACCCGCAAAAGAACGGCACAACCGAACCGGTCACAAAAACGACGACGGAACCGGCAAAAAAAAGCAAAACGGAACCGGTAAAAAAACGGCCCTGTCGTTCTCAGGGCCCACTGAGGGCCTCTCCCCTCTGGGGCCGAGGGCCATCAGCAACGAGCGCGCCCTGGGGTCGGGGAGCTTCTGACCCGGGTCAATCCTCAATCCAGACCCGGGTCAGCAGGAAACCAGAACACTGCATATGCAGGAGAAAAGAAACTGCAACGCAGGTCTTCGCAAACCCAGGTCAGCCAACATGCGCGGCCGCCTCGCGGCCACGAGCGGCTCGCTAACCCTGGTCAGCCAGAGGGGGTCTTCGCAGGATCCTGCAAGATCTGGCGCTCTGGCTGACCCCCGTCTGCATTGACCCCCGTCTCAAGGCTCCCGATGGGGTGTGCTCTCGGGCGCTCCAGTCTCGGGTCGCGGGGCCTTCTCTTGCCAGGGGCCCTTCTTCATAGACACAAGCAGATGCACCCAAGTGCCAGAATTCCCCCCTGGGCTTTCCAACATTTCCTAGGCGCTCGTCTTCCACCCCCACTCCCCCTGTTGTTTCAACGATTCCTGGGGGAATCGACGATGAATTGCGTCTGCGTGGACTCTTGCCAGGGGCAGGAGCTTAATGGGCCCTGGAAACGACAAGGCCGTTTTTTTACCGGTTCCGTTTTGCCGCTTTTTCGCCGGTTCCGACGCCGTTTTTTTACTGGTTCCGCCGCCGTTTTTTGACCGGTTCTGGCTCCGGTTCCAATCCTGGAGCCGTTTTTCTGTCGTTTCCGGTCGCCGTTTTTTTGCCGCTTCCATTCTCGAGGGACATTTTTGGGGGGAAACGGCGAAAAAACGGCCCTGCCGCTTCCGGGGCCCACAGAGGGCAGGAGGGCACCCAAGACAGGGCCAGGAGGGCCCCCAGAGGCGGCCCCGTAGGCCCTCGCGGCGGGCCCCGAGGTGCCCAGCAGAGATCGCTCCAGGACGGCCGGGGATGTCCCCCAGACGTCCCAGGGAGGGCCCCGAGGATCTCGAGTCACTGCATGTCTGGAGCTTCTTCCAAGAATAAGTTCTTCTGCCCAGACGGGGGGCCCGACGAGCCCTCGGCGACAGAGGCTCCCAGGACGCCCCAAGATGCCCCCAAGAGGCCACCACGAGACCCCCAAGAGGCCCCCAGGAAGCCCCAAGAGGCCCCCCCCGCCACATTAGAGAACGCATGGGTCGCCCTCCAGGGTCGGCGGCACCGGCCGTAAGGCCTTCGCAATAAGGTCGTCAGCTTGGGCATGGGGCATGGCAGGTGAGGTCGTCGATGTGGCTCTCTGATCGGCAGGGCAAGGCAAGCGAGTCGGGCAGGTGCAGCAAGGCGAGCATGCAGGCCAGGCCAGGTCGGGCTAGGCCTGGCTGTGTTGATTCAGACACGTTTGTTCCCAACCATCCTGTGGTGTTGGGTCCTCGTTTTGAAGAGACGGTGGCCCGCGTCTCCTTTCCTCCTCTCCTCCTCCTCCGCCTCCTTCCTCCTCCCTCCTCCCACCATCATCATCGTCATCATCATCATCATCGTCGTCGTCGTCATCATCACCGTCATCATCATCTTCGTCATAATCCTCACGACCGTCATCATCACCATCATCGTCATCCTTATCGCAGTCATCACCACTATCACCTCTCACACGTTCCGTGGCCCCTTAGGGAGCTCCTCCGAAGGCCCCAGTGCGTGTGCCCGTATGCGTCCCGCACACCCATTTCGGCACACCCCTCACACGTTTCGTGGCCCCATAGGGAGCTCCACCGAAGGTCCCTGTGGGTGTGCCCGCATGCGTCCCGCACTTCCATTTCGGCACACCCCTCACAAGTTTCGTGGCCCCATAGGGAGCTCCACCGAAGGCCCCAGTGGGTGTGCCCGCATGCGTCCCGCACACCCATGTCGGTAAACCCTTCACACGCTTCGTGGCCCCATAGGGAGCTCCACCGAAGGTCCCTGTGGGTGTGCCCGCATGCGTCCCGCACACCCATTTCGGCACACCCCGCACACGCTTCGTGGCCCCATAGGGAGCTCCACTGAAGGCCCCAGTGGGTGTGCCCGCATGCGTCCCGCACACCCATTTCGGCACACCCCTCACACCGCAAATCCCCTCACACGTTTTTGTGGCCCCATATGGAGCTCCACCGAAGGTCCCAGTGGGTGTGCCCGCATTGCGCCGTGCCGCACACACCCCATTTCGGCAACACCCCGCACGAGCTGCGTGGCCCCATAGGGAGCTCCACCGAAGGCCCCAATTGAGTTGCAGGGAGCTGGTCCGCACACCCCATTTCGGACACCCCTCAAACGTTTTGTTTGGCCCCATAGGGAGCTCCACCGAAGGTCCCAGTGGGTGTGTCCGCATGCGTCCCGCTCACCCATTTCGGTAAACCCTTCGCACGTTTCGGGGCCCCATAGGCAGCTCCACCGAAGGTCGCTGTGGGTGTGCCCGCATGCGTCCCGCACACCCATTTCGGCACACCCCTCACACGTTACGTGGCCCCATAGGGAGCTCCACCGAAGGACCCAATGGGTGTGCCCGCATGCGTCCCGCACACCCATTTCGGCACACCCCTCACACGTTTTGTGGCCCCATAGGGAGCTCCACCGAAGGCCCCAGTGCTGCCGCCCGCATGCGTCCCACACACCCATTTCGGCACACCCCTCACGCTTTTCGTGACCCCTTACACGTTTCGTGGTCCCATAGGGAGCTCCACCGAAGGCCCCGGTGGGTGTGCCCGCATGCGTCCCGCACTTCCATCTCGGCACACCCCTCACACGTTTGGTGGCCCCATAGAGCTCCACCGAAGGTCCCAGTGGTGTGCCCGCATGCGTCCCGCACCCCATTTCGGCACACCCCTCACACGTTTCGTGGCCCCATAGGGCGCGCCACCGAAGAAGATATTCACCATTGCGGTACTCACAATTGCATATGGTTGGGTCCTTCGCCAGGATAATTTTGGTTACGCCCGATCGAACAACAAGATTACATAAACAATCAACGACCACCAGGCGATCCCCACTGCACTTGTCTCTGTCCTGCTCGAAACCTCCAAACTGCGGACACCGGGTTCGGTATCAGACGCAGCCCTCCCCACCAGCGGTAAGTTACGAGGCAAAAGGGAAGGTGCCAAGGAGATAATGAGTGAACCGGGGAAAGACAACAGAACCACGGGAGAAAGGGAAGAGGCAAAGGACCTGGTGCTCACGCCGTCCACTCCTGCGACTACATTAGAGCCTTCTCCTCCTCCTCCCCCTCCTCCTCCTCTCCGTGTTCTTCCTCCTACTCCTCCTCCACCTCCACCTACTTTTCTTCCGTGTCCTCGTGCTCCTGACGCTCCTCCTCTTCACCCCTCTCCCCTCTCCTCCTCCTCCTCCTCCTCTTCTTCTTCTTCTGATTACTGTTCTTCTTATTAGTATTATTATTCTTCATCGTATTATTATATTCCTCTTATTATTATTCGTATTCTTATTATTCGTATTCGCCTTCGTCTTCTTCTTCTTCCTCTTCTTCCTCTTCTTCTTCCTCCTCCTCCTCCTCCTCCTCTCCGTGTTCGTCCTCCTCGTCCCTCGTCTTCTTCATCAGCTTCGACTGGCTCGCAACAGATTCGAAACTGTCGGACATACTGCACCATACAAAACAAGTTCGCTCCTCTGGGATGTGTTGTGAACACCCTGCATCTCTACCCTGGCTTTGAGGCGCGAAGCGTTCATGATATAACGAATTACCAACACACGAGACAGAGCTGTAAAACCTAACTCATCGTGGTCGAAAACGCAATGAACGTGCGCACGGCGCAAAGCAGACATTTGAGGGCGTGGAAAACCTGTGTGTCCGACCGCCGACCCTGTCGCTGGCATCATGGCCCAAGGCATTGCTTTGCGGTGCCATGTGCTCATCTCTGAAGAATGGTGGCCAACATTGCTGGAGGGAAAAGCCTAGGGAGCCTCCATTACGTTGCCACAAAACGCAACGAATCGTGCAAAGCTTGGCACCGATCTCTGACAACAGACCCGTCCTCCAACACTCATCCCTGTCACCCCTTGGCCGCGATGAGTCACGATACCTACAACTGTGGAAAACGCGTTGGCACGACATGCCACCACAGAGGAAGTAGAGCAAGGCCTGGCAACGCGGTGACATCACGCACCCGCGAACTGCCAAACCGGTATTATGGCACCGGAGGCGTTACCCATCGGTACACGCCGCCCGCGCACGGAACAGCCTCGGCTGGAAACACGCCTTGCGGCGACCTTTCTCGAGTGTCCTGCACAGCTGGAGGCACGCGGCTGGCGGTGCTGGGCAGCACGCCCCGCGCGCTGGGCGGCGGGGCGGCGGTGGCACAGGCTCAGCTTCTCAGGGGTCCGGAGAGGGCCGAGCTGCGAGGGGACGGAGACCAAAGATGATGGGGAACCGGATCGGCGGACCTTCGAAGGCGACGGGGACCGGACGGCGCGCGCCTTTCGCTTGCGGCTCTGTGGCAGTTCTGGCACTGCCGAGGTCGGCGCGCTCTGGGCTGCCGCTTGAGCAGCAGCGTTCTTGGCTGCCTCTGCTGCTGCCGCGGTTTTCGCTCTCGCCACGGGGTCCTCCGTGTCGAGGACCTTTTGGGTGCCAGACGCCGACGGCCGACAAATGGGGGGTACGGATGGCAGCATCCGCGTGCAGCCTGGGGTCTTTCAGAGCGGGGCCTCCGTCAGGCAGCGAGCACGGAGAAGGGGAAATCAGGTCAAGCTACTACCGTAAAGAATGCTGATCAGGGGACGAAGCCCCGTTTTGGCCCCAAACGCGCCTGGGAGCACGAGGACCGCTGGAGGAGCGGTCATGCGGAAACCTAGGGAACAGCGAGTCCCTTCCGAATCCGAACTACTCCCCAATTTTAGCGACTCCGCTGCAGGATGGGGAAGAGGAAGCAGAGGCACCACGCATACCGCCGGAATTGTGGGGGACGAAAAGGGACCGATACTGGCACGGTTCCCCCAAGACCTTTCCAGTGCAGACCTTCTGACCAGCATTTCGAGGAGAATCCAGCCGACGAGGGCTCTCTGGGACGAGCAGCAGCATCGGTACCTTGTCCTCCTCATAGTGGTACACTAGAGGCCTCACAAATGGTTTCCGAGTAGTTACGATCGGGAGATCACGCCGCATCGGCCTCTTCGTGGAGAGCATCGGGCTCCAAATCGAGCCGCATCGCCGATGCATCGGCGATGCGGCGCGATGGGTCGACCCTCCCCTACTCTGACCCCACTTAGGAGGTGGGGAAGCGCTGCTGCAATCCCGCCCATCCGGCCTGCGCGAAACTGCGTACTCGACTACCTTGGCAGAAACTACTCTCCAAAGATGTGCATGCAATTTCTCGATTTCTCGACTCCCGACACCTTCTCCACGGCCAAGCGCTGCCACTTGCCGAAGTCCTTCCAGCGGGCGCTCACGTCCCGGGCCGAGCCGTTGCCGTCGACGTCCACCACGCAGGCGTTGGCGCGGCTCTCCAGGAACACCGCGCGCCGGTGCTGCAGCGCCCCAGACCCCTCGACGTGCACGACGAACTCCGCGGAGGCGTCGGAGAAGATGTCAGGGCACTCCGCGACCTCCACTCTGGATGGGTTATTTGTCAAAGGGGGGGTGATGAACCTTCCGACTGAGTCTGCGCCATCCCGCCCCCCTCCATCCAGGGGGCGATGATTGTCCCATCCAGAGAAAACATACACTTTCGGAGCTAGAAGCCGACTTCCTGGATCGGCGTTGGGGGTCCGTCCTGGCGCGCGGAGCGCGCAAGGAGCGGCGTACATAGGAGGCGCAGCCAGGTTTACGGCGCAGATTCAAGGAATCCGTGCGGAGCGCCGAAAGCTTATGGTTGTACAATTTTCCCTAAACAGTGCTTGCACTGACGGGAGGGGTCCTAGAGGAGACTGAAAGACTTAGCGAAAATGCAATAGGCCGATTTCGGTGGGCGCCCAAGTGCCCGGGTTCCCATTTCCGGGTTTCCGAGTTCCCAGGTTCCCGGGTTCTGGGTTCTGGGCCAATTTCGGTGGGCGGCGGGGTTCCTGGTTTCCCAGGTTCCTGGCTGATCTTCTTACTATCGATCGGTCTCACCATCAATCTCATTACCCACCTCCCTATCGATCCCTCCATCGATCTCGCAATCGATCTCACTATAGATCGCACGAGCGATCTCACGATCGATCTCACTGAATCGACTTCACTATCGGTCTCACGATCGACCATACAATAGTCCTCACTATCGATTACACTATCGATCTCACTACCGATCTCACAATGGATCTCAATATCCATATTACTCTGATGTTTGAACCATCCATCCACTGATTAAGGTTTCTCTCTGATGCAATTCTCTCCCTCGAACCTTGCCGCCGTCGGTGCCCAGGAAATGGCCAGTGTGCGCCAGCAGCCGCACCACGTCCCCGTGCTGCACGGCGGTTCGCCTCCTGAGTGGTGGGGCGGGGGGCGGCTTAAGGGGGGGGGAACGCATCGACCTGGGCTCGGCGCTGCATCGCCAACAGATTGGCGGCAGGGCCCCGCTTGCGAAGCCGCACGGCCCTGGGCGGCGAGCCACGGGCGGGCGATCCGGGAGCCGTGCCTCCCTCCTGCACCCATGCTTACACTGGAAGAAGAGCACACGATGACATGAGCATGGAGAAGCTGAGGCCCGCGAGGGTTTCTCGCATCGCCGCTGGACCCCCTCCCTGGCGCGCGGAGCGCGCCAGGGGCGGCGCCGGAAGCGCCGCCCGGGGGGGGGCTCCAGCACCAATCGGGAAAGTCTGGGCGGACCTCCGAGCTTGTCATTGCTTGTTCCCTGGACTGAATGCCTACATCCGCACTGGTCGTTGCCACTTACCTTCCCCTGGCCAGCCCCGCGGACAACCCAGCAGGGGGCCCGGACAACCCCACCGGACAACCTCTCCTGGACAAGCCTCCCCGGGATCTGTCCACCATGAGACGTGTCGCCGCGCCCTTCGTGCTCGACGCGCCCATCATGACGACGCCGGCACCACGGCAAATCCACGGCAAACCATGCGCCCCGCACCAGTATAACGCCCGAGCCGAACCTGAGTCGAACATGAATCGAAATGGAGTCGAACTGGAGTCGAACATCTAACCTCCCAGGCATGCCGCGGCGGGGAAGTGGGAGAGAGCGGGCCTTCTCAGAAGGCTCGACGTCCCCCGGCCTTCCGAGAAGTTCTCTGAGCTTTCCCCGGAGACACAACAAACTTCTCAGAAGGTGCGAAGGCTTCTGAGAAGCCCCGCCGCCTTCTGAGAAACCCTTCTCCTTCTCATTCCCCCCTTCGGCCCGCCGTCGACTTTGGCTTTCGGGTCATAGCTCGGGTCTCCGGCGGCCGTTCGTGACGATCCAGACACACGCGGAACGCTCTCGGCGAAGCGCAGCTGCTGGAACGCATCCTGAGGCTGGAAAGCCGCCGACCACCGACGAAAACGTCGCGAAACCCCAACCCTCGAATCCACAACCTTTTCACGTCCCCCCCTCGCTCGCCGCCGACTCCTTCCTCTCTGCGACGCTCGGAGGCCCCCGGGCCAGAGTATCCCTCGGGCCTCCAGCAGTCCTTCGTGACGACCATGGCCACCCCTGGAATACGCTCGCGGCGAGACGTAGTTGCGGGCACGCTGGAGGAACATTGTGGCAAGAGAGAGAGAGAGAGACGACGACGACGACGACGAAAAGACGACACGACTGAAAGCGCCGGGAGGGAGGGGGGAAGGGGGCGAAAGGGTGAGTGGAAACAATCGCGATGCGAGTCGAAAGCGAAATACAAACGCTTGCGAGCGAGTTTCTCGACCTTGCTTAAAACCTTGGGCCATCCATCAGACTCGATCCGATGTATACACCCGCGTCGCTTTGCATTAGGAGCCCTACGCCATGTTTGGCCTATGCTGCTAATCGCTTAATTTGCGTAACATCCGCAATATGTGCAAACACACACACACAGCTTGTGTTCCTCATATCCTAAGATGGGGTTCTTGTGATTACTCTGACGCCGCCGATTCCTCAGGCAGGCCTCCTCCCATTCTCGTCTCCTCGTACTTAGATTCGTCCATACTCAGATTCCTTCGTACCCGCACTACTCAGAGTTGTTCACATTCAGACTCACTCATACTCATACTCTCTCGGACCCACTCATGCCAAGAGTATGTCGCCGTCACTCATTCATAGTCAGAAGGTTCGGAAGATGTCTCAGGTGGGGTGTTGGTTTCAGCACCCGTAAAGGGAGCCGCCAGAGGGGTATCGATCGGCCTTTCAGGCGGTTTGCCAGCTGCGGTGCCCAACATCGTTTGTGTGGACGGCAGCTTGTGAAGATATCTCAAGCGGGGCGTTGGTTTCAGCACCCTTAAAGGGAGCCGCCAAGGGGTATTGCATGGGCCCGTTCGCGGCCAATGTGTGGGAATGTCTCAAGCGGTTTGCCTGTTTCCGTGCTCAACATCGTCCGCCGTTATAGCAATGTGCGGAGATGTCTCAGGCGGAGCGCTGGTTTCAGCACCCCTACGGGGAACCGCCTGGAGTGTTTTCACGGGCCTGTTCGCGGCCAGTTTGTAGCTCAACATCATTTCTCTGCCAGAGCAGGTTTGGAGGATGTCTCAGGCGGGGCGCTGGTTTCAACACCCCTCAGGTGAACCGCCAAGGGGTATGACACGGGCCTGTTCGCGGCCAGTTTGTGGCGATGTACCATGTGGCTCAACATCCTTCGCTTTCAGAGCAGATTTGGAGCATGTCTCAGGCGGGGCGCTGGTTTCAGCACCCTTAAGGGCGCTGGTGTCCTTCTCTACCTCGCTCCTCCGCTCCCTCTCCTGTGCGCTTCCTCCGTGCACCTCTGTCGCGCCCTCGTTCGGGCCTCGGGGGGCCAAGTCGGCCTTGGGGGGGATTGGCCTCAGAGGGGCAGATTCAGAACGCCCTCAGGGTCTTCAAGAGGATCACCGTGTCATCGAGCTCCAAGGGACGAATCGCTTCGTCAAGGGCGATCCCCGCATAGAGCTCTTGAGCTGCATGCGGCAGAGCACACCGATCCCCGACCCTGTCTGGCAAGCCTTTGAGGAGATGTTTGCGAAGGACAGCGGCCCCGACGCGGGCCATGAGCTGGACCCGCGGCACGCGCAGAAGGAGTTCATCGAGGGCTACGGCCTGGCCATGGACTGGGAACCTCTGGCACGCTGGATCACCAAGCGGGCGCGGCGCGACGCCCGCGCGCTCGAGGTGCCTTTGGTTTTTCTGCAAGCTGCCGACGAGTGCCAGACCAGGAAAGGTACTCCAAGATGCTGAACGTCGGCACCATCTACAACACGGGCCGCATGCACGGCGTGCTACCCGCCCACGTGGGGCGCGGGTTCGCTTCACTGGCAAGTTCAATGACAAACATGGTCTGGTCCAGGAGCAACGGGCCACGATCGTCGACTTCGTGTTCCACGAAGACGACCAGATAAACTACAACAACGCGAGCCCCGGCGAGCTCTTCAGGCCGCGCCGTTCGCCCATGGGCATCTGGTTGCAGGTCAACGATTTCACAGAGGCGCCCACGTGGAAATATGTCATGGACGACGTAGGCAAAACATATTGCTCGCGGCCTCTTCTGCATGCCGATGATGTACAAAACCTTCACCTGGGAGGCTTCGTCCGAGTCGCAGGGGGGAACTCTGTGGTGACTCGCTGAGGTGGTCAGGTGGTCAGGTGGCCAGGTGGTCAGGTGGTCGGGTGGTGAGGTGCTCACGCGCCGTGCTAAACCTGCACCCTCTGCTGGGCCCGCGCCCTCTGTTAGACATGCTCTCTCGCCGAGCCACGTCTGCCGTGCAGCGTCCTCTGCTTGGCGAGCCCCCCCATTTTTTTATATAGTTGTATATATATGTATATATATATACAACACCGTTGTGGTTAGACGCGCCCCGCCTGCTAGTCATCGCCCTGTGCTAGGCGAGCCCCCCCCCCCCCAAGTGTCGATTGAACATATCCTTGGTGTTAGACGTGCCCGGTCTGTTGTGCAGCGCCCTCTGCTAGGCGAGACCCCTCCCCAAGTCGATTAAACAGTGCATCCTTGGTCCGATACGTGCCCCGCCTGCTATGCAGCGCTCTCTAGTTGATTTGTAAAGCAAGATTGGTGTTAGACATGCCCCGTCTGTTGTGCAGCGCCCTCTGCTAGGCGAGGCCTCTCCCCAAGTTGATTAAACAATGCATCCTTGGTGTTGGACGTGCCCCGCCTGTTGTGCAGCGTCCTCTGCTAGGCGAGACGCATCCCCGAGTCGATAAAAAAACGCATCCTTGGTGTTAGACGTGCCCCGTCTGCCACGCGGCGCCCTCTGCTACCCCTCCCCAAATCGATCAATCAAAAACATCATCGCCTAGCAGAGGGCGCCGGCTAGCAGACGGGGCACGTCTAACAACAATAATGCCTTTTTAACCACCTTGTGGAGGGGTCTCATCCAGCAGAGGGCGCTGCATAGCAGGCAGGGAACGTCTACCACCAATGATGTGTTTCTTACCGACTTGGGGAGGGGCCTCGCCTAGCAGAGGGCGCTGACTAGCAGACGGGGCACGTCTAACACCAAGGATGCATTGTTTAATCAACTTGGGGAGAAGCCTCAAATAACACAAGGCGCTGACTAGCAGACGGGGCACGCCTAACAACACGCATGCTTTTCTAACCAACTTGGGGAGGGGCCTCACCTAGCAAGGGGCGCTGCATAGCAGACGGGGCACGTCTCGCAACCGGGATGCGTTTTAAACAAACTACTCGCCTTGCAGAGGGCGCTTCACAGCAGACGGGGCACGTCCAACAACGAGGATGCCTTGTTTGACCGACTTGGGGAGGGGTCTCGTCTAGCAGAGGGCGCCGCATGGCAGACGGGGCGCGTCCAACAGCAAGGATGCATTTTCAATCGCCTTGGGGAGGGGCCTCGCCTAGCAGAGGGCGCTGCACAACGGACGGGGGACGTCCAACACCAAGGATACTTTTTAAATCAACTAAAAAAAACCTCGCCTAGCAGAGGGCGCTGCATAGCAGACAGGGCACGTCTCGCACCAAGGATGCACTGTTTCATCGACTCGGGGAGAGGTCTCCAATCCCCAGTGTTTTACGCATGCTCCTACAGATGGGGCCTCCCCTGGAGCACGAGTCCTTGGTGCCTTGCCCGCCCTTAGATTTTTGACGTATGCTCCTGCACTTTGTGGGCCGAAAAAAAAGCAGGGCCGTTTTCTCACCGTTTCCCCAAAAATGTTCCTTGAAAATGGAAACGGCAAAAAAAACGGTGACCGGAAACAGCAAAAAAAAAACGGCTCCAGGATTGGACCCGGAGCCAGAACCGGTCAAAAAACAGCGACGGAACCGGTAAACAACGGCGTCGGAACCGGTAAAAAAACGGTAAAACGGAACCGGTAAAAAAACTGCCCTGTCGTTTCCAGGGCCCACTAAGCTCCTGCATATTGTGC